CAAGGCAAAAATAAGCCTTTTGTTTTATTTATCGTTTAAGGAGGTTCTCAGACGCCGCGCACGAAAGGGTTAACTCGCGAAAGTCGCGAAAGCGACGGGTTCCCAGCTTGGAGACGCACGCGCTCGCGGCGTTCGCTGGCGGAAAGATTTTATTCGCTCATCGAAACGAACATTTTTTGTAAGTAGTGGGTGTGACGTCACTCGACTCCAGATGTAATTGCAAATCCGGGATATAATTGCAGCTTCAGAATATAATTGCAGCTTCGGAATATAATTGCAACTCTTTCGACCTGACCAATACGGATTGCCTAGTCACGAAAAAAAAAATTGATTTCTACGTCTAGAAATTTGATTCTACGTCTAAATTCTACGTCTCGCATGAACCGACTCCATGCGGAATTCGCGTCTTGGTCGTAAAAGCCAGCGAATCCGAAATCGAGGCACAAAACTTCCTTTCCCCGGGCGGTTAAACTAAAGTATTCAATTTCCGATCGATCGATGAGCAAATGAAACTCTGCTGAGTCCTATAGGAATCGATTTCAATCTGAATCAATCGTATAAATATTGGCAAATGTCAGCATCGACTCCTCAAACGTTCACCTTATATTTTTTTAAATTTAGATTTCTGGAAATAATGAGTTCGAAGAAGAACGTAAGTGAAGTAAGATTCGATCGGGTTTAAAATTTGGAGACATCGTTACAATGCACGGGGAAAAGGCGGCTCTGCTGTTAGTTTAAAGTTACCGCTGTTAGTTTAAAGTCCGTGTGTCATCCGTCGACCTTGACACGAGGTAGGGGCGAGGGCAGATGCATGACGGGACGGATTTCCTGAAACGCGAGGAGGAAAAAAAGAAACAAACCCCTCAACTCATCCGCAAACTCTCTTCGAATCCAAGTGCACGGCTTCACGTCCGAGCAAGGAGAAATGAGACAGGTCCATGAGAAATGGGTGGACAGGTCCATGAGAAATGGGCGAGACAGGTCCATAAGAAATGGGTGAGACAGGAGCCAAGATGGGCCAGGCCGCCCTTGTGGGCGAAGGCCTTCTCTTTTTTTTGCCTGCACCTTCAGATTTTCTTTCTGAGAGGTATCAATATATCGTTCATTCGCGGGATGCAAAGGATTCGCCTCGCTTTGGATATGTCCTTGGGCTTTATTTTGAATCGTACAGAAATTCTTTCTGGCTGGAGCAGCTGTCCTTAGGCTGGGGTCCGTGGAGGGTACATGGAAAATTAAATGTATAATTGAACTTACATGAACATAATTTTATAACCACGAATCCAGCTGTTCCAAAGTTTCTGATAACCGGGGGTGGGGGTTCATGGGTGATACTTGAGGATCTGTGGGGTCCGTCGGTGCAAAAAGGTTAAGACGATTAAAGGTTAAGGTTAACCTCCTGGGCTAGAGGTTCGACTTCGGGGAGCTTTTTTCGCTGTCTCAATCCTTTCAGCGTTGCAGGAAATACGCCTTCCAGCTCTTTTAGTTGATCTCGATCGAGCACGAGCACCGAAATCGGTTTTGGAAAAATTTCCTCCTGTCGGGTTAGATCTGATGATGCTCGAAGATGTCCGGCCGTTCGGGTCGCGAGGGTCCGGAGGTTCTTGAGATCAGCGGAACGTGGAAAATGATCTTGAGGAAAACGTTAGAGCCGAATTCGGGAAATGAGATTCCCGTAGGCTGGACCGCAGTCTCGAAAAGGGGAAAACCGCGAAATGACCCCGACTAAACCGCTTTTTCCTCCCGGGAAAAGGCGGCTCTGCGGTTAGTTTAAAGTTAACACTTTCGAGGTCTTCTCGTCCGTGTGTCATTCGTTGACCTTGGCACGAGGTAAGGGCAAGGGCAGATGCATGATGGGGCGGATTTCCTGAAACGCGAGGAGGAAAAAAAGAAACAAACCCTTCAACTCATCCGCAAACTCTCTTCGAATCCAAGTGCACGGCTTCACGTCCGAGCAAGGAGAAATGAGACAGGTCCATAGAAAATGGGCGAGACAGGTCCATAAGAAATGGGTGAGACAGGTCCGTGCATGCGTGCATGCTCTCTCCGTGCATCGTTTCCACGACAGGTGCGAGATGGAACATGAATCTCATAAGTTAAGCGCAGGACTGACCGGTGACGAAATGCGCGAGATCGACGCATCGGTCGCGTCGCTGCTGCGAGTGCCGGCCGCCGCACGCTTTTCTCTCTGCGACGCGCTGCGAGCTCGACGAGCTTCGAGTCGGTGCAGTTTCCGAGATGATCCATCCGTGAGAACTCATCACAGAAGAGGTTGACGAAAGGTCGATGACCTTTATCGGCGATAATAATAAGCGATAACGTTTTCCCGGGCGCCATCCGATTGCAATCTCTTACACGCAACGCGTTTGCGCTTGCAACGTTCCGAATTCGTGATTGGTCTTCGTCTCGAGGCAAGCTCCGGCCTCCTCGAGCTTAAAGTCCGTCCTTCCGCGTTTTCAAATGGATGTTTTTGGGATCTATTCCGTTCGAGAAGAAAATGCAAAGATCGTTCACGTCTTGAGAGAGGACATCAGAGCAATTCCGTTGAAAAAGTCTGTTTCCGTTTCTCGTTTGATGTGGTATGTAACGTTTGGGGGGCGGGGAGGGGGNTAGATATCTTTAATAGTTTTAATTTAAAAAATTTTTCTCTCGTCCCAAATAGCGCTAGTTCGCTTCCCCCTCCCGCCCCTAGAAACGACCCTGCATTGCACGGCTGTTAGATACTAAGTTGGAGGGATTAACGCTTTTACCTTCCATGTAAACGCCGGGTCGATACATTTTCATTTTCCTTCGCCCGCCTTGTCATGCCGGTTCATCACTCCTTCTCAGCTTATTCTTGAACCGCTTGAGTTCTTGTTCCAGTCCGCGTTCGCAGCATGCAGAGAGCGCCTCGCCCTTTCGACCCCGTCGCGATCGCGAGACTGCCGCGGAAAGCGCGTCTCGAAGCCGTCGGGTTTCGGCTGGCTCCAACTGGCTCCATCTGGCTCCATCTGGCTCCATCTGGCTCCGGCCCAGAGGGCGCTGGGGTCGACTGGGCCGATCCTGCCCTGCTGTTCTCTGTTGTCTGTGACATGGTGGGCGAGGGACGACATTCCAACAACCCTCTTCCTGCATTTTTGCGGCCCTCGTGGGAGGGGATGCAGGGTTGCTAACAGTGTTCCGCGGTTGGACATTTGGCAACCCTTTTGGATCGCTAAGGCCGCGTGACCCGCATCAGCGTGATTTTTCTTTTCACAGTCAAATTCAGGAAAGGCTGGGACTGACCATATGAAAGATGAAAGGGAAAAAATAATAAATAAATAAAATAATAAATAAAAACAAGCAGAAAGGAAGGCCAATAATTTTTTTTCTCTTCCGCTTCAGTCTTCGGCTCGATCGAAAGCGGACTCTTCTCTTTCCACTCCCTTCATTTCGAAACGTATAAAAAAGGTAGAGATATCGAGAGGGGGATTAACCGATGTTAATCCCCCTCTCGATATGATCCTCTGAGATGATCCACGAACGCTGAGAGCAGATTCCCCTTCTTTCGCTGGTTCAAGGTTGCATCGATTTGATCCCCCTTGTCCCTTATCGACTGCAAAGGGCTGCGTGAGGAGGAAATTTCCATTGCTCTCCCGACGCGCTCGGATATCGGCATGCGAAACGGCGGGGAAAGGGCCTTGACTTGGACCTTGAAAGGGGTGTAAAGGTTACCGATCGACATTGGGGGAAACTGAAAACGTAAAGTATTCACGTAAAGTAGCCCCGGGGGGATGGGGGTTCCTGCCCGATTTTGAAACTGTTACTCACCGGTACGCTGGTAGGAGGCTGCACGGCATAATATTAGATATCTTTAATAGTTTTAATTTAAAAAATTTTTCTCTCGTCCCAAATAGCGCTAGTTCGCTTCCCCCTCCCGCCCCTAGAAACGACCCTGCATTGCACGGCTGTTAGATACTAAGTTGGAGGGATTAACGCTTTTACCTTCCATGTAAACGCCGGGTCGATACATTTTCATTTTCCTTCGCCCGCCTTGTCATGCCGGTTCATCACTCCTTCTCAGCTTATTCTTGAACCGCTTGAGTTCTTGTTCCAGTCCGCGTTCGCAGCATGCAGAGAGCGCCTCGCCCTTTCGACCCCGTCGCGATCGCGAGACTGCCGCGGAAAGCGCGTCTCGAAGCCGTCGGGTTTCGGCTGGCTCCAACTGGCTCCATCTGGCTCCATCTGGCTCCATCTGGCTCCGGCCCAGAGGGCGCTGGGGTCGACTGGGCCGATCCTGCCCTGCTGTTCTCTGTTGTCTGTGACATGGTGGGCGAGGGACGACATTCCAACAACCCTCTTCCTGCATTTTTGCGGCCCTCGTGGGAGGGGATGCAGGGTTGCTAACAGTGTTCCGCGGTTGGACATTTGGCAACCCTTTTGGATCGCTAAGGCCTCTTTTCACTTGGGGAAGGAACCGTTCTGAACTGGGCTTTCCCAGCTTGTGATTTCCTGCAAGGATCTTGCGGCGTTCACGGTTGGAGTGCGGAATCACCCGTGATGAAAAAACATTTGAAATGCAATGAGAAAATCGGGTACACAAGGCTCAGTTTTATTGTCGGTCTTGCAGACATACTGTTAAAAAAAAAATAGCATTTCTCTTGTCTTGATGTCCATCGTACAGACGAGAGCTACTCGAATTAAATGTTTCACATTTGGAGAGAAGAGGGAAAAATGAGAACTTTGGCTTCTCTTTCATGAAAGGAGTTGCCAACATGAAAAAATATATATTTTGCTTCCTGTCTGAGTTTGGAAGTGAAAACTTCCGGAGCTGCTGAAAAAAAAAATGCACACAAACCACTCCGTCAGATTGCTTCCGTGAAGACCCAGTCGAAGTCGTCACAGTTCAGAGATATCGCATTCACGGAATGGATTTTGGGCAAAAGCAGCTGGGAATCGGGCTGGGAAAGTCTGGCAAAACGCTGGCGTCGTTGCCGGCAATTGCTTGCGGTGGAACAGTCAATTGCCTGCGTGGCAATCTCAGTCTAGCCTTGAATGAATTCGCTGTAAGTCGCGGACTTCCTCCTGCTGATGCCGTTCACGGAGAGTTTGCCGACGACGTGGATCTCGTTTTTCTCCCTTGGGATTTCCTCCTTCCCGTCGAGGAAGGAAGACTTGCGTCGCTTCTGAGCGGACTTTCGGTAAGTCTTGCGGAAGAAGTCCACGAACAAGACGAAGTAGCTGAGATACATTAAGATCGCGCAGGTCAGGATCAGATTGGACATGTTGCACGGGAGCCCGCGCATCTTCGTGACACTCACGTAACCGCAGAGCATTATACCCATCACCATCTGCGCGATCTGAGAAATGGTAATGAGCATCATGAGCTCTCGAGGCACCGACACCCTCATGGCCCTCAGGAAGTAATAGGAATACATGAGTGTGTGCACCGCAGCGTTCATCAAGCAGAACCAGCCGCCTGCCTCCTCCGCCCTGGCGGTGTTGAACCACGTGAAGAGGAGGACGCTCGCGTGGTGGTACCAGTGGAGGAAGATCAGCTTCTGCTTCCGGAGGAGAATGAAGTAGGTGTCGCCGAATTCCAGGATCTTCGAGAAGGAGAAGATCATGGTCCACAAGTAGGCTGTTGGATCTTCCTTTGCCCTCCTGAAAAATGATGTTGGGAATTTTTTACTGCTGGAAGTCCACCGAGTAACGTGATGATGAATACCCTTAACGAATGCATTTGTCTAGAAATGAATTTATGAGCATATGGAAGTGAAATTCGTCGTTGAAGTGAGATTGTGAAACCGGGAACAAGTTCATATCGGGTGTGAGCGGAAGGAAAATGTTGCAAGTGAATAAACCCAACGAACCGATTCAATAGAGTGAATAAATAAATATCTCAAGCAACTTGATATTGATGTGAACACCAAATGACTTCATCGAGAATGTCTGAGCTAATTGAGCTAATTGATATGATTGGAAATCGATCTCGTGGACAATTGCAGAGAGTGGTCGGAGGAACTCACCCTGTGGCACAGGTGCAATGGCTGAATCCAAAGTGTTGCACGTTGTAGAAGAAGGAGACCCCCATCCTCAGAGTGGCGAAGAGGCTGAAGAGGGCCAAGAACGCGTTCCAAGCCGCCATCGCCTTCCTCAGCGAGAAGGCCGGTCGACGCTTCATGGATGTTTCCAAGGCGTAGATGCTCGCGACGTAAGCGACGACGGCGAGCCAGGGCACGTAGTTCAAGGAATTCATGAACTCCAGCATCTCGTCGACCTCGTAGCGCGTCTCCCAGGGCTGCAGCGCCGGATGCGGTGGAAGGGGATTCAGTCGCCCGGTCGAGGGGTCCCGCGTCACCGCGTCCATCTCCAGATTTTTCTGAAGAATCGAACCAAAATGCACGCTTCCTTCTCTCTCTCTCTTCATCGATGGGAATTCCAGAAATATCTTTTTGAAATCACCGATTCTTCAGGTGTCTGGGGTTATATTTCACTATTAGAATATCATTGCGACCGGAACCGAATCTCTTTAATTCTTAAACTGGCAATAACGGGCAGTTGATTCTTTCGCGTTCAATCGCTCTTCAATCACTGTTCATCGGGTCGGCGCACGGAGAAACGCATTTGCGCACGGAGAAACGCACGTCCTTCCGCTCTGCGTAACTCGTTATGAAATCCCAGTGGGTCGCGAGAGGCTCGTCTCGACCATCGCCTTTGTTCGTCGAAAAATTAAAACGCGAGCGTATTTAAGGATTTTTCCATGTTTATTATGGAGCGGTGCTAAATCACAGTTTTGCAATTTGGGTCGGCCCACCGTGCTGGTTCGGCATGCAAAAAAATGCAGTGCAAAAAAAATAAATCAGTCTCCAGAGCCCTTCGCGCATAAACTTTATAATATACAAGGCAAAATATTAATTTGCTTGAATATTGTTAAATAGTAATAATTACTTTAAGGATACTGCTGATGCGTAATAATTTGATGTTCTTATATGAGTTACCTCATTAAAAAAATATTTATACAAATACCTATTGAACGGTGACTTTACTATTTCTTCAATTTCCTTTTAAAATCGGACAAATTTTTAGGAATTATTTTCAAATCAGTCAATCAATTAAAATCAGCAAGATAACCTATGCCAATTATAATCCCAAAATTTCAGCCGATTTTCAGCGCGATTCTCGATCTCGAAATCGCCAATCTGTGCAGATCGAAGTTCATCGACCCTGAAATCGAATATCTGGACGAAATACCGGGCGAAATACTGGACGAAATACCGGACGAAATACTGGACGAAATACTGGACGAAATACCCTTAGGCATTTGGCCTTGCCGATCGCGGGTTGTAATTTTATTATAATCATTATTTTAAAAATATCATCGCCGTTAATGCGACACCCGCGTTCCCACTCGACTTGGCAATCATGGCGCTTCGACCGGAATGACCCGACCGGGGGAAACGACGTTCTCATCTCGGCGAGATTCTCATCGTGACAGGATTCTCATCGTGACGCGGGTCGGGTGGTTCTGCGCAGCGGTTTCCCGTCGGTTAGACCAGGCGGATCGATGGACTGCTTTTCTTGGCGATTTTGATGCAGGTTTTGCCCTTTTTGGCATGGAAATTCACAGTATGGCAAAATCCACCAATCGACGTTAATTATCTTAATTACCCATCATTTATTCATATTGTTATAACATTCAAATATATATATATTATTATATATATCTTCTCTTTTCGAATATATCGAATTTCCATTTTTGGGGAAAATTACTTTGTGCATCCATTGAACATTTTCCCATTTTCATCAAATATATATATATATATATATATATATAGATTGAATAGAAGAAAACTGCGATGTTCCTCCCAGCCAAAGCCACCCCACGGCAACAGGCAGGAAATGTCCGGCCTCTAGCCCAGGAGAAGAGGGCAGAAAACCGTTGAATCCTGGAAACATACTATGCCAAAAAGCTTGCAAAGCTGGGACAAAGCTTAAGAAAGTTAAAATGGAGAACGGATAGCGAAGGATCCCATCCTAGAAAATTGTCAGGCAGCCTGTGTCGTCAGGGGATTGAGGCCGCAAGTCTGACCAAACAATCCCTACCCAGAAAGTTTCTACTGCCAGGTGCTACGGCCTATGGAATTAAACAGACTGTGCCTAATGCCCCAGAGGCAATCACGGCTTAAGTCCGTCTGTTAGTGCCACAGTTAACGATCGATTGGCTCGATCAGCCTCGCGACTGAAATGTATGGTAGACTCGAGCCAATGAAGGAAAAGGAGCGAGAGCATGACTCGGAATGGCTCAAGCCTATGAGGGAAAAGAAGAATGGAGGGGAAGGCTAGTTGCGAAACAAGCCTATGCAAGAAAAAATGTAGCCCAGGGAAAAGGCCCTACCAGGCATTCAGTTAACTGTGTCCTACACTGACAGACTGGAGCGATGCCCAGATTGCCTCTGCTACCTTCAGGCCTTGGCCTTGACACATTAGGCCTATAACACCTGACCCAACCCCGACTAACTGGATAAGCTAAATCCTAGGATGAATTAAGAAAAGTTATGGGAAAGAAGCCCATGCACCGGTAAACTGTCATCATCACCGGGATCGTATTGCAGTCACTNACTGAGAGTGGAAGTAGAACAGTTGTGCGGAATGAACACCACCATCGTTCCGATCATCATTGGCACAACTGGCGTCGTCCTGAAAGACCTCAAAAGACACGTCAGGAAGCTGGAGTGTGAAATCTCACTCGATATCCTCCAGCGTACAGCAATCTTGGGCACGGCCAGCATCCTTCGACGTGTCCTTCAGAATTAGGCGAGTATGAGGTCTGGAATGCGGTTTATCCCTAAATACTGGCAGGTACCGTGGAAGGATTTATTATATATATATATATATACCTCGTACTAGCGAGTTTGTTTGCCCTTCGGGCATACAAACTCGCTATTGTCGCGCCTTCGGCGCTCTATTACTTTGGATAGTGATTAATTCATTCATTTTTTCCGAAATGGGAAACACGTATTTAAAGCACGTCCCCATTGAAATACGTGACATATGGAGTCGAAATTCTTGATTTTTATCAAAATCATTACCTCTCTGATTCTGTGTGCCAAACTTGAAACCTTTTGATCGATCATTTGAATTGTGAATTGTGCATCGAATTGTGCGATCGATCGTATTCTTTGTGGTTGAGAGGGAGGATTAAGATTTATTTATTAGGGTTTACTGATTGGAATTTATTTCTTGGAATTTATTAATTTTAATTTATTTATTGGGATTCATTTCACTGGCAGCTGGCAGCTGTCGTCTCTGGAACGCCGCGTTCAGAGCACTTCAGTCTGACTTCTCAATTGCACGTTCGTTCCTGGACCAACAAGTTAATAATGGCAGCGCCCGAAGAGAACGCACCAGCATCAGAGAAGGCCGAAGAGGGAAAAATTTTCAAGGACTGCAGAAGAGCAGGACGCTTGGGAAGCACGCTTGGGGAGCACGCTTGGGGAGCACGCTTGGGAAGCACGTTTGAATTCGCGAAGAGCGGGCGGATGCAGAAGCCAGCACGACGAAAGAAGGGTAAGGCTGATTTTTTTTTTTTTTTGTTCCAGGACTTCATCTTCAATTTGTTTCTTTTTTCCCGGAAGAGACGAAACATAATTGCGTCCGCATTTGGAACTCGAGCAAAGACCGTTGCGTGACGATGGGAGCCGATTGACCGACGCCAATGCCATGATGGCATTCCTGTCGGTCAATCGATTGATTCGTCGTCATCAATATCATCATCCGCATCGATCTCTGCAACTCGCAGCAAATTCGTAATTGCATTCAAGCTGAATGGAGAAAATTTAAAAATAATCGGAGTAGCGTGGAAAACCGTTTTTTCGAGGTTTCCACTTTGACTGTTCCGAAGGGAGTTATTTCCCTGAGTCACCGTCGCGTACGGGAAGTACTGCCGGCCTTCGACGCGTGGAATCCTTGGAATCATTTTCCGCAGTTCTGCGTTGGGGAATTGGCACGGCTCGATCGGCAGGGAAATTGGCAGCGAGCATGTATTTTAGCTCATAGATATGTGCATTTTCCCGACTTTTTTCGATCGATGAATTTCGTCAGCGTAGACGGTACGGTGCATCCCCGTTCCCTCTGAGCACTTTTATTTCGGGAACTTTCGTGAATAGAGACGAAAATTCGTGGTTGGCAGGTTCAGGGATTACTTCAGGGATTACTTCAGTCTGGGGCAGCTGGCGGTCGGTACTCGGAAGTAGCTGTACTTCTTCGAGAATCCCACCCTCAGTCCGTCTTTTCCTCGCGGGATTTTAAATTTCTCCAGTCAGAAACGCGCTATCGTATTCGTTGCGAAATAGTCCTGAGCTTCCTGCTTTGCACGAATGGAGATCTGGCAACCCTGCGACTGCAACCCTGCACCTTGGGAATCCGCGGTAGTATTCGTAGGCGAACGAAATTTTTTCAGATGAGTCGCGAAGCACTCGAGGGTGAATCCGTTGTAAATCCGATTAATAAAATTCGGAGGGTTTCGGCGGAGTTTTTCTGAGAGAAATGGGGGATTGCCCAGAAATGAGTGGGAAATTGCTCATTACAGTTTTACTCACTTTTTTACGCTTGGAATTGTTGAGGAGTGTGAAGCCCTGGAGATGCTTTTCCAAGAGATTTCCTCGATATTCGAAGCCATAAATCTTTGAATTTCACTGAAGAGCAATTCCTGCCGAGAAATCACATCTCCCCCTTCCCCACTCTCGCCCCACCCTCGCCCCAAGCTGCAAGTGTTCCCATTCATCATGCACGAGTCCTCGGATCCGCCGGGAAATATCCCGTCCGTCGCGGGAGACGAGACGCGAACAGCGGCGTGCGATCGCTTGGATGAGCCCGTCGACACCCGCCGAGTGCATCCCCCCCCCCGCCCTCATCCCTCACCCCTCACCCCTCACCCCCCACCCAAAAAGTGAAAGAAGGAAAATCACCTCTCAAGACTTTCGTCCTCGCCGAAACGCCACACGCATAAGACACAGAGAGAGCCGACCTTCGCCGCTGGCGGATCCCCGCAGACTCCCGCTCCGCTCCGACCTCCTCCTCCTCGAACCACCTCCTCCGCATTCCCCACCCCCTCGGGATGACGCCGCACCCCTCAATCGGTGCAACTTCCGTCGGCTCAATCCCCTTTACGCGCTGCGTCAGTAACTACAGGGTGGCTCAGAGGAACGGGAAATTTTGGAACGGAGATTCATGGAAGAGACAAAATATTTTTAATACATTTATTCATGACAATTAATAGTACAGAGCATGCCATTGATGAATTGGGTGATGGATTGGATGAATAAGGTGGGTTTCATATGTCATTCACCAACCTCCCAGGGCTGACAA